TGTATCTATGGTTAAAGCATCACATGCAATACAAAACAGAGTCTAAGTATTAAATTTTTATTACCAACACACATCGGCAATGTTGTCCAGTTCCCATCAACACACTGGATCTTACTGGGTCCCTTCAAGAGAAATCCAGGCTTGCAATCATATTTCACCACTTCATCATGGCCATATTCTTCTTTCTTTGTTCCCTTAGCTTCCCCATTGAGGAGTTTAGGAGGTTGGTCACATGGTCCTACTTTATCTACTGTGGAAATATTATGTAACTATAAATGAAAATGTCCATCTTGAAGTCTAAAAATCTAGTAGATAAAAATTCTTTTAAGAATTTATTCACCATATCACTTTTTATGACATTTTACTAAATCAATAGTATTTACACTAGACTGACATTTCACAGTTTGTAATATGTCTATTGAACTAGCACTGAAAGCATATTGAAGGTGTTACAGTGTGTGGCAAACCTAATACCTTGAAAATGCAGGAACCCAGTCAGCAATTGTAGTTGTGTCAATTATAGTGATTTTCACACTCCCTGAATATGTTTAACATACAGGTATCAATTGGTAAAAAATGTTGGCACTGTAGAAAACATCTCTGATTAATGTGTTTTAATTTTTTAATAAATGCTAATGAATTAATCAAAATCTGCTTTCATACAGTTTAGACATTCTCTATGCAATGTGAGGAAATGCTTATGCTGTAAAAATGCCAGTATAAATGGTAATACAGACAAAATGAGAGACGTCTTTGTACTCTCAACCATCATGTCTGCATGCTTAAACACACTGATAACATATTTTATGCTAGCCTGGGTTTAACCTTGTAAATCAGTGACTGTGTATTAGCCACACAACCTGCAGCTTCATCATGGCTGTCTATATATCTGGATATGTTTAAGATTATGAACACAATGTAAGACTAGGGGATATTAGGAGAAGGAAAATAAACTTCTGATTTTCATTCACCAAATGTAAAACAGATACTGACCTTTACATGTTGGGAAACTAGGAGACCATCCAAAGTGGTAGCATTGCACTGAATCTGGTCCAACTCTGTGTCCTTGTTGGCAAGAAAATTTTAACAAATCTCCAACATTATATTTGTCATTCCTGGGATTGACGAATAAGTGTGGTGATAGTAAGGGGATGCTGCATTCTCTTTCTTGAAAAATAAAATAATTAGAGAATACATTTAATCATTGAGAAGTAGTTTTATCTCTCTCATGTACATTCACAGGGAAGCATCAGTAACCATCTTCCTTATGAAAAGTGTTGAATATTACATTTGCTATAGCCCCTACATTCATATGGAAGTCTGAGGAATGTATATTGATGGAATACATAAGTCATAGACTTGAAAAATGAAATTAACTTATTTTTACTGGGTCTGAATTGTGCAGAGGATTACTAATGTTAAATTTACAACTACCCTTTTCTTACAATACACAACTGTTCTTTCATATTTGAAATTAATACTATACAGTATGTGTATGATATTTTCAAAATATTATTTCAGTTTAATATACTTGAGAAAGTAGAACAGGCAAAGTCATTTCTAATGTATTTGAAGTTAGGAAAATAAAGTTAGTTTATTTTAAATTAAAAAAGAACATAAAAAACGTGGACAAAACAGTAACATAAATTGTTTCAATATTTACAATACACTAAGCTATTTTGTTGTATTTCCAAATCTTATTAACTGTTAATCAATCTAACTTAAATTAAGAATTTGTAGCATTCCCCATTTCAATTATTTTTTTAAATTGTTGGCATTGTTGTTACAAAAAATAAACACTTTTTCCTTGTTTGAAATCTCCCGTATTTACTAATTTATAAAATTAGAGATTACAATTTAAAAACTAGGTTTATACATAAAAGAAAATTCCAACTTTCAAGAGTCAAGTGTTAGTATGGAGTTAACAACAAAAATGAAAGATATTTAAAAGCAGTATCTAAAGCAAATAACCAAAACCTCATTTTGTGAGAGGACACACAAGTATGGCACATATTAGAGCTTCTGGAAACAGTCCCCAATAATTCCTTTGCTTTAATATTGAGTTTTTTAGATTCCCTGGGAAAAATCAGCTTTAACAAGACTCACAGTTATTAAAAGTCTGGGGTCACTCATATTCACCATAACCATGAATAAATTTTAATAAGAAGAGAGTTTTTATTTAGTTATTGGTATCAGGGTTGTGGCACCAGGTCTGCAAAACTATCTGAATTTATTATGTGACAGTTCATCCAAAGTTAAAATATTCCATCCTGCAGGAAAGCTCCTTTAGCAAGAAGGTAAAGATCTCAAAATAGCTCCAGGAAGTCCCTGAAACTGACCAGATCCAGTAGGTAACTTACTCCCAAGTAAACAAGCCAAACTGATGAATCATTCTCAGAGAAGGCAAGCTGCAAAGAAGATACTCAAACAAGCCTAGATGTAAAAATAGAAGATTTCGAGACTATATCAGCTGCCTGGAAGAAGCTAAAACCAGCCCAACTCTCTGGAAGAGGTTTAGAGCAACTGAGTCACTTGGTAAAAACACTCTCCAATCTGGTGTATAAGCTGTGCAGTGTACTCCAGTTATATGTTTCTGTGAGCTGTTACCCATGCTGGGTGGGCCTTGGCAATGCAGCTGTCTTTGAGTCATTTCTGGTCCTGTAAGCAACCCTTCACTCATATTTCAGTAACCTCAATAAAACTCATGGGTCATCAAGTTGAGTTTGGTGGTTTCTGTATGATGTCTGATCATGAACGCCTTATCTGGGGCATATCATCTCCACAGGAAAGGTTTTGTCACATTAATAAATAATTCGGTAGTATATTTTATTTTATTTTTATAATGTTAAGACTGACCCTAAAGTCATGGGGTAGACAAGCCTTGTCCTAATGAACTAATAGCCCTGTCCTTGCATTCTATTTTAGTATTATATCGTAGAAAGTCCTGATTTCACAATCTTGAACTGCTTATAATCAGAGAGAAATTAATAATCACCATTTGCCTAGTTTGATTTTTTTTTAATTTGCAGCGTCATTTGAATCTCTTTGTTGTTTATGATAAGTCTTCATATGTCGCCCAGAGTGGTCTCATATTCACGACGCTCATAATTCTCCCTCCCAAGTTCTAGGATTACAGACGTGTACCACCTTGCCAGGTGTAGACATCCCTAATGAATTATATTTGAGTGGATGCTTGATGCTGCAATCAATTTTCTAAATTTCTGCTGCTATCCTTTCTAAAGGAATTCTGGCCACCCAGGCATGGCAAACATGGCTCTGGCAGGCCTTGCCCTTCTCATTGCCTCTGCCTTCCTATAAATCATTAGATTACATTGCTAAAGCTAGCCACCAAGGTCTGTTCCCTTATTTGGCCACTTCCTCCTCCTGAGGCTGACTATCAAGGTCCAGCTATCAAAATATTGAAGTCAAAAATCCATGTGGCTCACCTAATAAACATGTCCAAATAAAATTAAACACTTGACCCTGACACAGGTTTCCCCTTGTACCTTTATAAACTGCCATTTTCCTATATGCCACATTTGTCTCCTATCTATCTAGAGGCAGTCCTTTGTCCTGAGCCAATATTTTTCCTTTCACTTTCAATTTTTTCCCTCTTGCAACTTATCCATCTCTTTCCTTCCCACTCTTCAAATTTGCATGACCTTTTTTCATATTTCAAATCATAATTTTGAAACTGGAGACCTAGTTTAAATAACTAAGAGCATGCCTTTAAGATAATGAAACAATTATACTTTAGTCAGAGATACTTGATATACACAGGTCATACAAAGGAATAATTAATTTAATGTATTTTGCTTGTTGTTTGTTTGTTTATGGAACAGAGACTCACTATGTAGCCCAACATGTCCTCAAATTTAAAATCTCTTGTTCCAGGGTTATAGTGCTAGAATCATAAGAATGTGCTATCTACACCTCATAAGTACATTATTTTAAAAACAGATTATCAGCACTTGGGAGGCAGAGGCAGGCGAATCTTTGTGAGTTTGAGGCCAGTCTGGTCTACAGAGTGAGATCCAGGAAAGGCACAAAGCTACACAGAGAAATCCTGTCTCGAAAAACCAAAAAAACAAACAAACAAAAAAAAAACAAAACAAAACAAAACAACAAAAACAAACAAGCAAAAACCCCAAAATGCAGATTATCAGGCCACTGAGATGGTTCAGTCAGTGAGGGGGCTTGCTTCCAAGCTTGGTGACAAGTGTTCAATCCTGGGACTCACATGATGAAAAGAGAGAGCTGACTCACAAGTTCTCTGACATCTTCATGAGTAATGTGGTGTGCACACCTCCATAGATGCACACTTATAACCATTGTACACATATATGATAAATAAATGCATGCAATGCAATAATAAAAACAAACATGATCAGCTTTAGCCTTCAAAATAGTCCTTTCTTCCAGTTTACATTGAATCAGAAGGAAGATCCTAGGAAGTTCATATTTTCAAGTAACACATAAATATTTATTTTTGCCTTGTAAAAAGAAAAATCCCAGAGAAAATCATATTCACCATAGCATGAAGGTATGTCAGACCATCCATCATATGTACATGTTATGGAGCCCTTGGTATGTTTATACTTGTTTTCATATACAATATGGCATTCATAGTCTAATTTATCATTGAGTTTAAACCATGTGCTATTATTTTTAGTTCCAGCATTTTCAAATATAGGCCTATCACAAGACTCTAATGCAAAATGAAATGGAAGATTTCATTTAATGTGTCAATGGACAATCTGAGCAATTCCTTTGAGTAGAAAAGTAGTCATAGGTTAATATATAACAATTAAATACTATATAAAAACATCCTTAGAAGACCAACAATAAATCATTTTCCTGAAATAGTTATTAAATAAAAACTACACTCCGATTAGCATTTACTACCACAGTTAAGTTTTATAAAACTTTATTTTAAAAATAATTTTTCAGCTCATTTTTTTCTTATATTTATCACAATCTGCAAATAAATAGACAATTTCAAATATATTTTGTTTTAGAGAAGGGTAATATCCTTTGTGAACTAATGTCCCATATTTAGTAGTTCATATGCAATATTGAATATTGCATATCCCAAAAGGCTTGTAAATTATAATTTAATATACATGAATATTACATGGGAATAATTTTAATTGCTTTTTCTTTAAATAGATCCTCTAAAAGTACAATAAATGAAAAATAGAAACTAAAAAAGCAATAAATATATTAAATCACCTCATCACTTAAGTTATGTTGCATAGTTCTTGAAAAATAGCACTGGCTAGCTTTCTGATAAGTAAGACAAGCTGAACTAATTACTCTCAGAAAAATTTCAATGACTGTAAGTAGTAAAACATGAAAATTTGGTGTTACCTGGGAACATTTCTTTCTTTCCAATATCAAAATATTTGGGAAGAATTTCTAAGAGGGAAACCTTCTGAGACAGACATTAACTGATAGTGTCAAATACATATTATAAGGTTATCACATATTCTGTGATTTAAAACATGGACATGTATCTTCACTTAAAACTTGGCCTTTATATCTAGGAGCAAAGGCTTTCATATGCAAGGCAGAGTATCTTTTAAAAGGCAGCTAGTCAAAGAATTCTTCCCTAAATTTAAAACTATAGGGTATTTTAAAGCATTGGAAAAGGAAATTAACTGATATTCTACAAAACAGGAATGAGTCCAAAAGGAAAAACAAATAGTGAAATATTTTTTCTTGAAGTTTAAAACTCATCTTTCAAGTGAAACAACACCAGCCACCTCAAAGGAGAATAAAGCTAAACCCTTATACATCACCAGTATAATGGCAGGAATATTATGAAGTACTCACTGATGCATGAAGGTTGAGCTGACCATCCATTTTGGAGGCAGGTAATTGTTCCTGATGTTTCTCCATTTGCTGTTACATATCCCTGTTTGCACCTATAGTGTGTTTTTCTATTTAGAGCGTATGTATGATCAGATTCAGAAAGAAACCCATTCTCAATCTCTATATCGTTCTTTGAACATGTCTCTAAAAGAGAAAGGAATAAAAAAAAAGATGAGTGCATGCTCAGTGGCTTAAGGATTTACAATAGAAAAAGATATTAAAAATAGCTGTTAGTCACTTATACATGAAGACTTAAAATAATCAAAATCATTCACATTCCTGAACCAAGGAAATCAAATCATAGGTTTAAAGATACACAATATCTTGTTTGAATTTTTTAACATAGCAAGATTTAAATCACTCATAATTACTTCTAAAATTGTGTTAAAATTTTTTTCCAAGTGAATTCATAATCCTACAGAAAGTCTGAATGTTGAATAATACATTTTTTTCTTGCATTTTCTTTAAACCGGAGAATAATTGGTTCTCTAAGTCACCTAGACTTATTTACTCAATTAGGGTTCCTGTGGTTGGGTGATAATCTTTGAAAATCTATCTGCACAGTTGCTACAGACTCCAGTTTCAAGAATTTGAAATGCCATTGTAACCTCATTCTGGGGGATGTCTTTCTGTATGCTGTGAATATATGTTATTCCTATTGGTTAATAAATAAACTGCTTTGGCTTCTGGCCAGGCAGTTTAGAGGCAAGCAGGATAGGAGAGAGACAAGAAAGGGAAAAGGTGGGGTCCAGAGAGAGACACCATCCCACCATCCAGAAAGCAGCATGACATTTCACACAGGTAAAGGCACGGAACATGTGGTGATACATAGATTAATAGTTATGGATTAATTTAAGATATAAGAGCTAGCTAGCAAGAGACCTGCTATAGACTAAACAGTTTGTAAATAATATAAGCCTCTGTGTGTTTACTTGGGTCTGAGATGCTGCAGGACCAGGCAGGACACAGAAAAACTTTTGGCTACACCTCATGCCTAAAATACAATGGATGTTCAATGTTCAACGAAGATCATGAGAAACAAAAAAAATTATTTAATCTTCTCATGACAAAATAATGCCTCCTCATATCTTTAATAACTGAACTTGAAAGTATAAATGTAAAATTTTTAATTTCACTTTTTTATCATCAGAATAATATTTCATTGTGAAATGTACCAGATAAATATATATTCCATGAAAAATAATAATTAAAAAGACAGTATAAAGGTATAATTCCAGTTATTAGATTTTTTCTCAGAACACACATTTGCTTGTTTATGGATAAGTAAGAAATCAAAGAATAAAACATTAAATATTTTATATAAATGCCAATTAAAGGATTAGATAAAATATTGGGAGAAAACACTAAGTAGTGAAGAGACAGGAATACCATCAAATTACTGGAAAAGAATAAAGAATAAAAATCATTAAGTCTTTCACTTTGTTAACTTGAAAAAGGAAGCAAATACTAATGCAAGAACAAACTGTGAAAACCTAAAATGATGAACAGAGATCAAGCAAAAACCAAATGTGGGAAAGGTAATGAATTGTGATTTTTCTAAAGGAATGTAACAAATTATAAGGAAAAGAAAAGAAAAAGAGAGTGCTAACCACAAACAAGGAGGGGAATGAGAAGTTTGGGTGAAAATTACCAATGCTTACTATTGAAAGATAAAAGAGCACCAAACCAGAATTCCAGAGTATCAAGAGACTAAGTAGGTCTGTTATCAAGGAAGCTTTATGTATGGAGGAATTTTCCAGAAAATAGTACAGTGAGAAGAAACCTGACCAGAAAAAATAATAATAGGTATTTTTTCTGAATTTAAGAAACAAAAATCACTGTTTTCAAAGAGATCAGATTTACTGGATCTGTGGTATAGAAAAGCAGAGCAGAAAGAAAACCTGAAGTAGAATTCTGCAGATCTCCACTGCCATCCTCTAGCTCTCTGGCCAGATGTCAGCATACTATAGCACAGTACAAGACTCTGTGATGCAATAGAACAGAAGAAGAAAAATGGCCCCAAATTGTAAGATCAAAGGCTCCCAGAACACCAGCAATGTGAGATATTCAAATTGAAAAGGTGGGACAGTTCCTTCTGATTACCCAAATCCTTTAGTAAGATCCCAGAAGAGGTTTATTGATGTTCTAAACACACTAGTTGGAAAGAAAAGGCTCCCAAACCAGTCTAAATAAATTTCAAAGGAAACAAAATTATCAATCAAACTTAGCTTCCGTTCATGCAGATATCCAATCCCAAGCACTAACAGCAAGTGTTCTAATGAGGTACGGCTTCTTTACTCAAAAGATTGTGGTGGATGTGAAATAAAATACATTGTGGCAACATTTTATTCCCCACACAAAAATTCCCAGAAAACTAATTGGTAACGCTCACCTGTTGCATGTAAGTGTCAATGATAAACCACACATAAATCTATCCATGGTAAGACAACAATAGCACGGAGGAAGCTGGCTGTACCCAACATGCACAGTAAAAAGGACAGTAGCCCCATACCAGTTACCTGAGACTCTCTTAAAACATTAGAAAAAGAAGAGATTAAAGTTGGGAGATGTGTGGGGAAGGAGGGCATGTCACATCCTGAACTAAAATAATGGAACAAAAATACAAGAAACAGTGTTTGTAATACATAAATGCATTCCTACCTAAAATAAATTTACAACTTGATACTATAAAAGAGACTTAAGTTAATAACATTTACACAGATTTAGAAGAGAAAAATAGAGACAGCACAACAGGTTACCAATATCAGCAATGATGGAATATATACACATATACATGTATATATAAAAACTTATTTTAAGAGAAACATCAGGGAATATTATGGGCATCCATGTCAATTAATTTTACAAATTAAAAATTAATGGAGTTTAAAAGTCATAGACTACACAACTCACTCAAGAAAAATATTTAAGATGAATATATTTGCTTCAGTATGAAAAACACGTACTAGCTAAACATTTACAGAAGAACACAGGACCTTTTGTTGTGTACAACAGAACAGTGCTATAAGAAACCAAAGGTCTAATTACTACACAGGTATATCCTAATCATTAATAGAAAAATTAAAGTATACTGTATCAGTTGTCTTTAATTTTATTCCAGAAAAACATTATATACTCATAAGCAAGCTCATTTTTAAAAGTCACATGACAAGGGACCATAGCAGCAAAATAATTCTTCAAAATGTCCAATGATCTAGATATTTTAAACATAATGTAAACATTATAAAATATGTTAATTAATAGAAGTATCACACTTCTCCACCAATAGGTTTCTACAATCTATACTTTTGTTTAACATTTGAATGTTATAAATTAAATTGTTCAGAAAGAAAGGAATCAAAGATCTAATGTTATAAGGTAATAAGTTTTATATAATGAAATAATCACTAAAGATACTTGTGATGTTGGTGAATGTAGAAGTATACAGAGCAGCAGTGGAAGAGAACAATGAGTCAGTAACCACACACACATAGGACTAGTATATATCTGACAATAATTAATATCAATTTTATAGTAGAAGATAATCTCTTATCAAATAAAACATTAATATTTAGACATATAAATGCACAATAATAAGCATAAACTTCTTTCTCACACTCATTTAAAATGAACACAAATTTTGATCATATACATAAACATAAAATATACACTTCTAGAAAAATATTTGCTTGTGGCTTAGGCAATGACGTTTTAGATGACAGAAAAAAGAACCAATAACTGAATTTTTTTTGATATGTTGAAGAGCATCATAACAAATGCTTGCTATCATTGACCAATAGAGCCACAGCTAGGGTGAGACTTTGTGCCTACCTCCCCTACAGATGCTGGGATTTTGTCTGACTGCAGCTTGTGCAAATCTTGTGATTTCTGTCACAGGGAGTGGGTTGACAATGTGCTAGTGGATGGACACATACCCAAGAATTGAGGGGCAGCACAGATAGGACTTGATTTTTTTTTTAAGAACAAAAAAATGGGTGGGTGGGTAGAGATGGGAAGCAGATATGGAAGGAATTTGAAGAGGGAGGCATATATGGTCAAAATATGTTGTGTGAAATTCTCAACAAACTAATAAAAATAAGAAAGGTAAAGAGTAAACATTTGCTTTCGAAAGACAGATAGAATGTAAGTTGAGCTGCAAAAGTGAGGAAATATTTGTGAAGAACACTAGCCTACAGAAGGCAAATAATAGCCACAATGTACTAAGTAGTCTCAAAATTCACTAGAAACAAAACAAACCATGAAGAAAAAATGGGCAACATTTTGAAGAACCATTTTCAGAAAGACATGTCGATGGCAGATGAGCAGAGGAGAGGATGTTCTTCAGCTTTGCTCCCTGAGACTTGAGATGCCACCACATATCTTATAGAACCAAGAGATGTAGAAGCTTGATTCCCAGAGGCTACATATGTGAACATGGAAGTTATAGTTGCAGAAAACTGACATACATCTACAAATGATCCAGCAAATCAATCCTGCAAAGATAGAAAAGCAAGTAAAGCCCTCTCCAGGCATAAAGACTATAGAAGTACAACAATGATCAGCAGAAAGACATTTTTAATTGTGCAATAGTGACATTTATATATCAGTGGTAACCAATAGCTGTATAATTTGACCCAAGTCCTAATCAATATGCAGGAATTCACACCTGGTACAACAAATCTAGCCAAGTACCCTAGAGTAGAACCTATTACTACCACCTCACTAGACCAGTACTATTTTTAACAGCATTGTAAATACTTGTCCCTGTATTCACAGGTATGTAGTCAGCAGCTGTTCCAGTTTTGACCTGGAAGTACTACCCCTAGTGAGGCTTTCTGTAACTGTTACACCTACTTATGACCTGCCCCTGAGGCAGGCCAAGATGGGAGCCCTTAAGACCTGAGATCTGGATGTGTGGACTCTCTTGGTTCCTGGTGATCCAGGATGCTGGCTGGTAGATCAAGCAGAGTTCTTCAGAGAACCCAGCTGGACTGCATCTCACCTCTCCCGGATCCTGTAACCAACCTCTTTACTAGCTGTAAGTTACCCCCCAAAATAAACCTCCATTTAAACTATGTGGAGTTGCCTTAATAAATCCTCCAATACAGATAGGTGCTGTTCCCATCCATCATCAAAGAAGGTTC